TTCAATTACTTTGCACCTCACCATTTTAAAAAACTTAAACATGAATTTACTACATGCCCTTACAATTGCAACAGGCAAACAGATATTAGAAATGATCCAATATGGGGAAGGAAGGCATTTCAGATAGCTGGCTTAGGCCTTCTCCCTCTGGGCGCTTAGCAACAGACTGTCTGGCAACCAGCCATGAGCTTTGCTCCTTATCCTTGACTCATGGAAAGCGGCTGATTTACTGAGGCGGCTCTGGACCTAGCATTCTGCACGTGCTCAGAGGTAATTCATCAACAAATTCCCTGCCTGAGTCCAACATCAGAGTGAGAGAGAAAAACGTGGGGCCGGAAGAACTATGACTGGCTTAGATTACGCCCAGTAAATTAGGCTGCATTGATTTAAATCTATTTTGCTAACAAATGGCCATACCATTTTAGTTTTAGCCAAGACTTTTAAAAAATATATATACCGTATTTTTCGTCCTATAGGGCGCACCGGCCCATAGGACGCACCTCGTTTTTTGGGGGGGAAATGAATTTTAAAAAATTATTCCCCCCCCCAGCCCTGGCTGCCGCCCCAAGCCTTGCGCTCACCTGCCCGAAGCACGGGGCACCCTCCGAAGGGCTCCCCGTGCTTCGGGCGACAGGGTGCCGCCCCAAGCCTCGCGCACCCGGCGGGACCTCCTGCCGGGCGCGTGAGGCTTGCAGACACTCGCCCGAAGCAGGGGGAGCCCTCCGGAGGGCTCCCCCTGCTTTGGGTGACAGGGTGCCGCCCCAAGCCTTGCGCACCCGGTGGGACCTCCTGCCGGGCGCGCAAGGCTTGCAGACACTCGCGGGGGCTGCAGGCTGCCGCCCGCAAGCCTTGTGAGCCCGCGGGAACTCCCACCGGGCTTGCAAGGCTTGCGGATAGCTTCCTGAAGCCTGGAGAGCGAGAGGGGTCGGTGCGCACCGATGCCTCTCGCTCTCCAGGCTTCAGCAAAAGCCTGCATTCGCCCCATAGGACGCACACACATTTCCCCTTCATTTTTGGAGGGGAAAAAGTGCGTCCTATGGGGCGAAAAATAAGGTATATTTGAAAATAAAAAGTGGAGTACCTGTGCCCCCCTACATATTGTTGGACTACATCTCCCACCACCCTTGATCCCTAACCATGCCAAGTGGAGCTGATGGGAGTTGTAGTTCAGCAGGTGTGCCATGGGGGGGGCAAGGCCCCCCAAAATGTTCAAGCAGGGGCTCTCCTGCAGCTGCAACTGGCCTTTCAGGGCCTACCTGTGGCCGCAGCGAACCCACACGCACCATGCACATAACGTCATGCACGCACGCTGCCCCTGCCCCACCGAAATTGGGCAGAACCTGGCTGCCCAGAGGGCTGAAAGTTGCCCGCACCTGGTGTAGTTCCATTAAGGTGGTGAGCAGCTTTCCCTAACGTAGTGCCCTTGATGTACTTTTGGACTACAACTCCCATCAGCGCCAGGCAGCATGGCCAGTGGTCAAGTACCTGGAGAGCCTAACTGACACTGTCCACACAAGGAAAGCCGGATGAAGATCCTCCTTTGTATTCATTTGATCTGAACCCAGTCCTCTGAAACAGGTGCCTGTTCCATCAAAGAGAAAAATGAATGGCCACAAAAAGAGAGTACTGGGAACTGTAGTTTGTTATGAGTGCTCAGAGTTAATAGGAGACTCCCTATTTCCTTCAGAGAACTATAGTTCCCAGAGTTCCCTTGGAAGACGGACTAATGGTTAAAAAACCACTCTGCATATTGTGGTTCTGTGAAGGGGGTAAAGGTAAAGGGACCCCTGATCGTTAGGTCCAGTTGTGGCCGACTCTGGGGTTGTAGCGCTCATCTCGCTTTATTGGCCGAGGGAGCCGGGCATACAGCTTCTGGGTCATGTGGTCAGCACAACTAAGCCGCTTCTGGCGAACCAGAGCAGTGCATGGAAACGCTGTTTACCTTCCCGCCAGAGTGGTACCTATTTATCTACTTGCACTTTGATGTGCTTTCGAACTGCTAGGTGGGCAGGAGCAGAGGCAGAGCAACGGGAGCTCACCCCGTCGCAGGGATTCGAACTGCCGACCTTCTGATCAGCAAGTCCTAGGCTCAGTGGTTTAACCCACAGCCCCACCAGAGTCCCTGTGAAGGGAATAGGGAGTCCCCTAAAAATGCCCAGCGCTCTTAACAAACCAGAGTTCCCAGGAATCTTTGAGGGACGGAGGCAGTGAGGCCTCTCCCATCTATCCCCCATCTGGTGTTTTGGCTCCTTCCCTCCCAGAACAATCTCCACCAGCAACCCCTCCCATCAGTTTGGCTGGGATCAACTGCCATTTCGGCTCGTCCCTTCCACAAATTGCCCAACATGGCCATTGTAAGAATAATGTAACATTATGGCAAAAGGGGTGCCAGAATCTGCTTATTTTCCTCTTCTTTCCTGCGCTTTTCCTTTCGTGTCGAACCTATTTTAAAAAAAGAAAGCCTCAAAGCTTAGCCCGTGTGGTGAAGTTGTTAAAAGGATCAGACTAGGACCTTAGGACCTGGGGATTAGAGTTCAAATCCCGGCTCATCCATGGGCCAGTCCCTGTTTCTCTCAGCTTAAGCTACCTCACAGTGTTGTTATGGAGATTAAATGAGAAAGAAGAGGACTATGTATGGCAGATTTTGAGCTCCTTGGGGGGGAAAGTCCCTCGACATCTAAGGACCCAAGACTGAAGAACAATCTCCATCTGAATCCTTATTTTCTATGTGGAATATATTGTCCCCATCAACAAAATGAGTCAGTCTTTCCTCACACCTGAAAAAAATAATACTGATGGCAGATGCACATTATACTTTCAAAGCACATGACTTACCCCAATGAATTATGGGACAAGTTGTTTAAGGGTGCTGGGAATTGTAGCTCTGTGAGGGTGAAGCTCCCATTTCTAGGAATCTTTGAGGCAAGCCCTGCGCAATAGTAGTACCTGCTGTTGTTGTTTTGTTTGTACTCCACCCATCTGACTGGGTTGTCCCAGCCACTCTGGGCAGCTTCCAACATATATAAAAGCTTAGCACCAAACATTAAAGACCTCCCTATACAGATCTGTTAAGCTATTTATCTCCTTGACATCTGATGGGAGGGTGTTCCACAGGGTGGGCGCCACTACCATAAAGCATTGAATTTGCTTTAAATGTATGTTGTGGATTTGCCCTATGCTCTGTTGACTGAGGGTAGTCAGTCTAGGTTTTTTTGAGGGGGAGTGTGTGTCTTTAACAACAAACCTGATTTTCTAAAAGACTAGGCTTTTTTCAATAAGGAAAGTGACAGCAAAATGCGCTTGTTCTGATGCAGCAGCATCTCTCCTTAATGCAAACAATGAATGTGTGTTCATTAAATAGCTGATGCCATCTAATCAACCCTGCAATAAACAGGTTATCTCAAAGTGCCTTGGGAGGAAAGTTGTGTTTTATAAAAAAATATCCATCTGCATGGGAAACATTTATATGGTCCTTCACCGCTCTCCTAGGTTGGCAGTTAGCATGATTTTGCTCGATTGTGTAATTTGTCCACCTGCCAGTTTAATACCTGCAAGAGATATTACGCTGGGAGTATCCCATCCCATGATTAATGACCTTGGAGTGGTGTTAGGCTTTTTCTTGGCAGCTGCAGCCCAGATTATGTGGTCCACCCCAGGTGTGAGCAATTTAGCGCTCTCTCGCTCTCTCAGAGGGGGGGGGGGAGTCATTCAGCAAACAAGCCTCGAGAAACCTATAAGGCCCCTGGGATTCAAGGCTACGGTGGGGGCTCCCAGCAGCTGAAAGGAGACATTGCTTGCTTGGTATGGTATATTCTTATTTATGATCTGCCTGCTGTTTAATTAATCTTGAGACTTCTTAGAACTGTAGAGTTGGAAGGGATCCTGACGATCATCTGGTGACTATCTAATGCTTATTAGATGGATTTCCCCCAAAATTGATTTCTGAACTTTAAATTTTATTGTTAGTCATGTTTTTATACTGTATTTTATGCTGCTTCTACAAGTGTTTTAAATTTGTTGTTAGCCACCCTGAGCCCGGTTTTCTGAACTGGGAAGGTTGGGGTATAAATAAATTTTTATTATTATTATTATAGTATAGTCCAACCACCTGCAATGCAGGAATATGCAGCTGTCCCATACAGGGATTGAACCTGCAACCTTAGCGTTATCATCACTTTTGTATTGTTTCTGTATCCCAGAGAAAGAAGCCCCTTGTCTTTGACAAGACACTGTCCAAGCTGTTTCTTAATTATTATTGGGGGGGGGGGAGTTGGTAGAAATAGAGAACAACAAAAGTTGGCTTCTCCCTCAAGTATATATCATGTAACTAAACAGATACAGTGGTACCTCGGGTTACAGAAGCTTCCAGGTTACAGACTCTGCTAACCCAGATATAATAGTACCTCGGGTTACGAACTTTGCTTCAGGATGAGAACACAAATTGTGCTCTGGCGGCACGGCAGCAGCAGTAGGCCCCATTAGCTAAAGTTAATTAGCTCAGGTTAAGAACAGTTTCAGGTTAAGAACAGACCTCCAGAATGAATTAAGTTCTTAACCCGAGGTACCACTGTACTTACCGTATTTTTTGCTCTATAAGACTCACTTTTTCCTTCCTAAAAAGTAAGGGGGAATGTGTGTGCGTCTTATGGAGCGAATGCAGGCTGCGCAGCTATCCCAGAAGCCAGAACAGCAAGAGGGATTGCTGCTTTCACTGCGCAGCGATCCCTCTTGCTGTTCTGGCTTCTGAGATGCAGAATATTTTTTTTCTTGTTTTCCTCCTCCAAAAACTAGGTGCGTCTTTTGGTCTGGTGCGTCTTATAGAGCGAAAAATACGGTATTTTCTACTCTTATCTCTTTCCTGTAGGGAGTATCCCCACCACCCAAGGGTGAATTTTCTCAAGACAAGGCTCAAGGCCGCAGAAATGCGCATAGAACTACTTGTTGTAACTGACAGGATTTTGCCAAGAGAATAAGGGGGGGGGACGGACTGAGGGTCAAAAATGGAGATAAGCTGTGAAGACCTGGGAAAAGGTCCAGAGTTTCCAAGAGGGGCAGCACCACAAAATGTTAACCAGCAAACCCAGGAGCGGCCGCCACAGCAGAGGGTGAGCCAATCTGAAGAATTCCTGAAGGACCTCCAGCCTCCAAAGCTGATTCTGGAGAATCCAGGATTGACAGCGCCCATACTGTCGGAAGATGATCCTGAAAGGTTCCTGGTCTCCTTTGAGAAAGTTGCCGAAGCTTGTCAATGGCCGAGAGAAGAGTGGGCAGCCCGGCTTGTGCCGGCCCTTGGCGGAGAAGCAGCAAGAGCCTTTAGAAAGCTGGCTGCTGGCGACAGAGAGGACTATGGGAAAGTGAAGGCTGCCATCTTGCAAGGGGATGCAATCAAAATGGAGGTCCAGCGCCAGTGCTTCAGGCAGTTCCGCTTCCAGGAGGTGGAAGACCCGCAGAGGGCATATGGCCAGCTCCGTGAGCTTTGTCGTCAGTGGTTGAAGCCAGAGAAACACACCAAGGAGCAGATCCTGGATCTGGTGGTCCTGGAGCAGTTCCTGGCCATCCTGCCCCAGGAAACCCAGAAGAGGATGGAGAAATGTAGCCCAAAAGCCTGCGCCCAGGCAGTGGCCCTGGCAGAAGACCTCCTGAGGAACCATCAAGAGGCCAAGATGTGGAGACTGGAGGTGAGATTTGCATGATGTGAAAACTTAATGGCCTGTCTGTTTGAAGCCAGCACAGAGGGGTGATGTGGGTTGCCAACTGCTGAGAAAAGAGGCCTGCATTGCTCTTGTGCCATTAATATAGGCTTGATCTACAGCAGAGGTTCCCAAACTGGTCCATGGACCACCAGTCTCCACAAGCTTCGTTCAGGCACAATAGTAATGGAGAAACCTCATGGGAATGCAAAACGTTTTTAAAAATAATAACAATTAAACATTTTTATTGAAAGTTCAAAAAGTACATAATTATATGTGCACTAAACATGGTGAGATGTAAATAAAAGAGAGAAAGCAAAAAAAGAGAAACAGAACTTGTGTAGAAGGGAAAATAAAAGTGGGGAGGGGGGGAACCCAAAATTGTATATTTTGCAAGGTTATTGTACCTCACAAATTCTTAACCTATTACAGTAGCTGTAAGAATGAATTCCAAACATCATTGAATTTGTCCATGGCAAGTCTGCTTTTATATACAGATTGTTCACATGTTGCGAGTTTGTATAAGTCTTTAATCCAATCGTAGAAGGGAACCACATCTTAAGAAATGGGGGGGGTAGGGAGGGAAAAAATATCAAAATAGCCCAATGCTGACTTCTTTTGTGGGGCGGGGGAGGCTGGAAATTAAACAAAATAAGTAAAAGGTGTGGATCAAGGCCATTTTGGTGGTACCACCACTGGGGGCTGCAAAGTTGGTGCTGTTAAGTTGGTGCAGAGAAAGCCTATGATAGGGTCTCCTGTTTGTGGAATGCCCTCCCTTCTTGCGAAGTACCGTATTTTTCGTCCCATAGGACGCTCCGTCCCATAGGACGCACCTAGTTTTTTTGGGGGGGAAATAAAGGAATTTTTCCCCCCTTTATTTCCCCCCCAAAAGCAGGTCGGGGAAACCGAACCAGGGTGAGGAACAGCAGGATGGCGACGCTGCGCCTCCCTGCTGTCCCCCGAGCTTGTGGGGCTGGCCCATGTCTGCCCGGTGCGAGGGCCGCTCTGCATCAGGGCGCCCTGCCCGCCGGGCGGCAGGCTGCTATCCGCAGCGTGGGGAGCCTTGCGGGGAACTCCTGCAAGGCTCCCCACGCTGCGGATGTCTGCCGGGCGCCTGAAGCCTGGAGAGCGAGAGGGGTCGGTGCGCACCGACCCCTCTCACTCTCCAAGCTTCAGCAAAAGCCTGCATTCGCCCCATAGGATGCACCCAGATTTCCCCTTCATTTCTGGAGGGGAAAAAGTGCGTCCTATAGGGCGAAAAATACGGTATGTCTGTGCCCTTCATTCAGGTGAAATGTTGAAAACATTCCTGTTTACCCAGGTATTTGATGGGTGAAAACCACTGTTCCTGGCACACCTGAGATCACTGTTTTAAAATAGTAGATTCATAGAATTGTAGAGTTGTAGAAGGGACCCCAAGGGTCATCTAGTCTAGCCCCCTGTAAAGCAGGAATCCTGCCCAAAGCTGTCCCTGGGTGGGCTTGAACCACCAGCCTTCTGGTTAACAGCCAGGTACACTGACCCACTGTGCCACAAATGTTTTAACTGTTTTTAGGATGGTTTTGAAATAGTTTTCTCTTGATATGTTTCCCCCTCTGGGCTCCTTTCGGAGGAAGGGCAGGATTTAAATTGAAGGAAACAATAAAGTAAATAAAGTTTCAAAAGTGAAATACAGCTCACTTCAAGTGAGTCAGGCCATTGTCTCCTGCTCTGGCCAGCAGCAGCCGTTTCCCGCTACCTGATCCTTTTAAAGAACAAAACTAAAACGGGGACTTAGCTTGGGATCTTCTGCATTCAGAACACCTGTCCTCCCACTGAACTGCACTCCCCATAACATTAAGCCACTTCCAGAGCGGTGTCCCCAAGGAAACAGGAGTTCAGAAACTGAGTATGGCCTCCATCCCTGATGTTTCTGTTTCAATCCACTTTATGGGGTGGAATTTTCCTTGCTGTTTCAGGAGCCGTTGCAGAAGATGACCCAGAGTTTCTTGAGAGCAGAGGAGATGGCGGCCCACTCCACCGAGAGAGAGATCTGCAAGGAAGCAAAGCAGCAGGGTGATGGTGGTGCCACGCTTCTATGTAAGGGTTAAGTGACTCGCCATAGGCCGGCCGAGCAAGTGGGGCAGGCAGGTGGCCGAGGCAGGCCTTTCTATGCCCACCCCTCATCCCCCCCTTTGACCCCAGCAGCTGCCACTGCTGATAGAAGGAAGTGTTCAGACAGAAAGGGAGGGGGGTGAAGGGGAGAAACATGAGCAGCAATTGGGGGATCTTGGGACTGGGCAAACTGGGAGGGGAGGGAGGAGTTTGGGGTGAAATGTGAAGGGATGGAGATTGGTAATGGGGCAGGGAGTTGGCAGGTGGTCTGGAATTTTTGATGTTGCTGAGCAAGCTCTTTTTGTTGTGCAGAGGAGGGCAAAATAGGTAGTGCTAACACAACAACTCTGCCGGTCCAAGCAGCCCATTGGATTTGGTTGTTGTGCTCCGCTTAGAACAGGGTGTCCACAAGTGGAATGGCTGTTGTGATCTGTGGCTACCACAAGTGGATCTCCTCCTGTGTGTGTCCAAATTCTCTGATACTTGTAAGCCGCTTTGATTATGTTTTGAGAAGGGATGGATCATGGAAACGACTGAAATAAATGACAATACAAACGTTGCTTCTGAAAACATAACCTGTTCTTGTCTCTTACAGCCAGCAGAACACCATCCCCAAGTGTCTCTGCTCCCTTGCATTGCCCTGGTGGATCAGAGCTGGCAGAAGGTGTCTTGGATGAGGTGGGTTCATGCGTTAGCTGTCCTGGTGTCTCCCCTCCTCCTGCGGGCTCCTGAATCTTTCTTTGCATCAAAAAGTCTGTGTTTTTTTGAATTGGGCATCTTTTTTCTGTCACCTTGCTGCCAAATTCAGAAGGTGCCATCTTTTTCATTTTAGTTTTTCCTATTCCTGACTGATTTGCCCAAAATGACCATGGAGGCCTGTCCAGCCTAATGAAGCCCATGGGCTGAGGTCTGCCAATGCTGCACTAACCCATAGGTTGTTCCACTGGCGGAGGTAGAGGGGGGTGGGGGGAGTGTACCACCCACCACGCCCCCGGGATGTGCACCAGCCACGCCCCTGCCTGCTCTCCGCCCCCTGGTGCTGGAGCATGAAGCTCCACCACTGGGTTGTTCAACAAACCATCGGTTGTCCTGCAAACAACCGGACAAGCAACAGTTTGTTTCTCTAAACTGTGTTTTAAAGTACTGGTGCTACTTCACTAAAAACCTTAGTTTCTATAGGAAGCAGATGCATATGTGATAGTGAGGGACCTAAGGGGCTAGATTTAAGAGATTTAAGCGGCAGGAAGGGAGATTTTGGTTGGACATGAGGAGAAACATTTTGATGGTAAGAATTGCTGGAGATCTTCAATCTGAATCTGGAGAACTCTAGCTCTGAATCTCCTGCATCGAGCAGGAAATTAGACTGGTTGGCTAAGAAGGTATTTTCCAGGTCACATCCATGCCATATATAACAATCTCTGGCAATCAAGCAGCCTAATAAGCAGCAACGACTCCCCGTCAGTTTTATGTAAGTTTCTTTACATGAAGAAACATATCCAGAGCCTGGTCTTCCCGCCTGCTCTCATTAACAGTAGTTGCTCAGTCTGTCTCACTGTCCCTTCCCCAACAGGAAAAATGCCAAAATCAAGCCATTATTCTCCTTCCCTTCCGTTGTTCTCTGAGCTTCTCCCATCTTCTAGTACGGGGACTGAACAGCTGGCCTGCCTCCTCCCCACTCCCAGAAGACACAGACTTAGACTTTGGCTTATCTGATGGTTGCCTGGCAACGCTCTGGCTGACTTCCAACTCTTCCTCTCCTTGGGAGCTAACAGCTTCTTCCTTGGGAAGGAGTGGGGCTGGGCTGTCCTCTCTAAACTCTGACAAACAGCTCTCATCTGAAGTCGGCCCCTTGTTCCTTTAGCTCAGTTTCTGAGGCTGACTCTTCTGCTGTGCTCGGGGCGGGGGACACTTTCCTGACACCATGCATTTAGAAGCACCTGCCAAGGAATCCTTGGAACTGCTGCTTATTCCTCATACAGTTACAATTCCCAGCACCCATAACAAACAACAGTGCATCCAGGTTTCTTTGGAGGGAAGAAACTAGCTTTAAATGTATGGCATGAATGTGACCTGTCTACAGTTCTGTATTCAGAGCAGGAAACCCTCTTGTAGTTTCAGGGGACAGTTGATTTGAAGGGTGCGACTGTCTTGTCGGATACAACAGAGAAGGCTGTGCTCAATCCCATTCAGACCCCTGTGTACTGGAAAGTTTTGGTGGAGGAGGATGAGACCGTTGCTTTCTCAGGTAATGTCTCAAGCATATGTACACTGCTGTCGCACCCCAAAAGCATTGGATATGTCTGGCATCCATATTTCTCCCAGTTGTGAGACAAACTCCTCTTTTCTCCCCATTCATCAATTGTGTCTCCAACCTGTAGGAGGACCAGTGGTCCTCCCCAGCCTGGTTGGACAAGAAAAATTAGTATTTGTCCCAAACTCTGAGCATAAAGATACATTCCCAGGTAAGACTCTCTCAGGTAAGGGTTATCACAGAGACTCCATGGCTACATCCTGGTGGCGATGAGTACATAGGCAACAGCCTGAAACCACATCAGCGTCTTGCCCCATCTAATCCAATACTACCTGCTCTGACTTGCAGCAGCAATTCAGCGTCTAAAACACAGAGAAGGTCCTTTCCCATCCCCCTGCTTCTCAAGATCCTTTATTAGTTAGAGAGAGCAGAGACTGAGATGGAGATATTGGCTGTGTTTGTACTTCCAGTAATCTTGTTAGGGGGATAGTGGTCCCTGTTATTCCCATATTACAGGAGAAGAATGTAAGAAAGAGAGCCTGCACCCATGATCAAATCCTGCACCCTAGCCCAGCACCTTATTTCTCCCGCTATGTCCCTTGGAAACCTACAAGCAGGACCACGAGAAGAGCAAACCAGCTCATGATTCCCAGCAACTGATACCCAGATGCAACACTGCGGCTGATATTGACATTACCATCATGACCAGTTCTGCTAGATTAGGCCTAAGAACCATCTAGTCCAGTATATTTTTCTGGCAGCGGCCAAGCAGATGCCCATGGGAATCCCATGAGCAGGACCTGAGCAACTGATTATCACTGGCATATTTTCTCTGGACAGCAGATATTGAGGCCGGGTGTTCAGGGTTTGCACAAGGCCAGGCAGTAAGTCTATGCCAGAGAGTTAAGAATGAACTCTGGCCCTCCTGCTTCCAAGCTCAGTTCTCTTTACAATGCAGAATTGGCTCTTGTATAAAATAGCAATGATCCCCCCTGTGTTTTCTCACCTTCACGACAGGCAGGAGCATGAACAGGAAGGAAACTGAAAATTCTCAGCAAGGAAGCCCTGAGCGACAAGGCCCATCTGTGATACGATCAGGAGAACCCCAGGACACTGTCCCCTTGAGTCCTGGTGTTTCCCTGAGTCCTGGAGTGATGTGGCCTCAAATGAGTGACCAAGGGATGAAGCAGGGAGTGCCGACTCTGCATGGTATGATCCAGGAGTTTGCAGAAGGAATCGCAGATCCACCACAAGAGAAAAAACTCCGTCGCGGGTCCAGAACTTGCTCCTCAAACATCGCTCAGCACAGGCAGGAAAGACTTTACCAGTGCTTTGAGTGCGAGAAAACCTTCTGTGGGATACATGCCCTTGCTGGCCACCAGAGAATCCACAAGACCAAGATGGAACCCAGAGGCAAGAAGCAACTGCTTGCCAGGGCATCTCTCACCAAAGGTCAGAGATTACTTTGAGGCTGCAGATATGAGCAGACAATAGACTTGTGGAAACCTGCTTTGTTGGGATTTTTTTGCAGGGGGCGGGTAGTCTAGCAACTGGAGCCGAGGGCAAAACAGTGCTTCCTCAGAACAGCTGCTGGGGACTTAATTGCAACTTTGATTTCAGATTTGACCACTACTGAGGCCAATCCAGTTGCCCAGTTTTCCTTGTATTATATACATTCGTTAAGTTACTCTTTAATTTTATGAAACAGTACACGGAACAGAAAATTTCCCCCCTATTATGCCCTTTCAGAAGTGGCTCAGTAGGTGGGGCAGAGCTGCTATGCCAGCTTCCCAGCAGGTGGGCTACTGCTGCTTACCAGGCAATAGATGGATGAGGAGGTTGGCATGGTGCAAACACACCAGCAGAGAGAGCCAGACCAGTGCTCCTGCCAGTGCCTTTGCACCACACTGACCTGTCACCTCTCCCTCCTGGTAAGCAACAGCAATCCACCTGCCAGGAAGTTATAATAATGGATTTGCCCCACCCAACGCAACACCTCTATGTAAGTTTCATTCTCTGTGTTGAAGAATTAATCAAACTGATTGGTTGATTAAACATTGTGTCTCATATCCAGATGGGTTAATTCAACTTTCTCTCTATCCCTGTAGGAAATGAGGGGCTAAGTAAGTTCAGGGTGGAGACTCCTCAGCAGGAAAGGAATGAGAGAGAGAGTATATCTAATGGAAGGATAGCAGAATTTCCTCAAAGTAAGATGACATCAGAACCAGAATGGGAACCTGAAGGGCAGCAGGGAAAGAAGACAGTGAAGACACAAAAGGAGCCCATCAAGCTCTTAGAAGGCCGCAAGCCCCAAAAGGAAACTGTGGCACACATGTGGGTGAAAAAATTGTCGTACTCCTCCCAGCCTGGGAATGTGTGCCCCAGCACACCAGGATTTGTAATCCAGGAAACTCCTCCTACAGAGAAGGCACCCTATCAATGTCCCTCATGTGGCAAAAGCTTAATGAACAAGGTCCGCCTTGAAGATCATCATAGGGTCCATATAGGAGATGCCTTATGGATGCCCACAGTGTGGGGGAAAGTTTCACTGGAGAAACTGTGTGTTCAAACATTTGTGGATCCATAGAAAATGTTCACATGTACTGAGTGTGGCAGAAGCTTTCGTTGGAAAACCGGGTTGAGAACACACTGGGAGACTTGTACAAGGAATTGTTCTAAACTAATCTTGATTTAGTTTGAAACTGGACCATGCAGGCAAAGGTATAGGGCCGTGCAAGCACTGACTATCTTTGGTGATGGCTGTGACCCCTTTTTGGCCTGGCCACATTTTTCCTGCCCCAGTGTCTGACCTGATATCATGCATGGTATCGGGTGTAGGGCCGACGGGCATGGCTGTGCCAAAATGGCCCTGTGAGCCAAATCAGGGAGGTCTGATGGGCCTAAATTGGCCCATGGCCTGGTGGCTCCCTACTCCTGCTTTAGAGAGTGTTTCATTGACCATCAGAGAATCCACACAGGAAAGAAAGCCTATGGATGCTTTGAGTGAGGAAAAAGCTTATAGTGAGAAGTTGTCGATATTAAACTTCTGACTGTAAAATTTGATGAATGAAGGAGAGATAGAGAGCACCACTTGTTTCCCCAACACCACTCTGTCATTTCCTCCCTATCTGAATCTGACTTCACTTGTTGCAACGGTGAGAGTGATGGGTTGCTTGGGTGTGGAGGCTTGTAATCTGAAAAGCCTGTGCTTCTATATGAAGACACATTGCTTTTCGCCCATTTTCTCTCTCTTCCTGGTTGTTTCCTTGAAGAATGTTTTGAAGAACTTTCCTGGAACTGTTGATGAACAAATCCAGAGGAACAGTCATGTGAATCACCAGAGAGCAAAGGAGAATGTTGCTTGTTCTGATGTAAAAAGAAGCTTAATGCTGTACGATTGCATCTTGTACAAGGGCTACATTCTGGGGATGGGGCCTGTATACAAAAACACACATATGCAAACCACCCTCTTGAAACTGCCCCTGTGAGACCATCCTTACCTTCCAAGGAAGGGCAGAGAGCTTTTAAGCTCTCCAGCTTGCTTACCAGCCCAGTGAGTAAGCTTGGGGATCCCATGGGTCTGTCTGAGTTCCTGCAAGAGCCTCCCAGAGCCTGGTAAGCAAGACAACGCTTAAAAGTTTTTTCATGCCAGGAAAGCACGGCACAGAACAAGCTTTTAAGCTCTTCTCTTCACATGCAGTTAATTTTGTTCAATTTCAACTGGATGGATTTCAACTGCACAAGGCTGAAATCCTCCAATTTAATTGTGAGCAAGATGCATATGGTACTGTAATTGACATTTGAATCTATGCATAGTCAATCTGGCATAATTCAAATAGTGTGGGACTCCGCAACTGTCATCAGCCACAGCCAACCAATATGGCCCAGTGGGCAGGGATGATTAAAGTTGTAGTTCAGCAAAAAGTGGAAGGCGCCACTTTGGCTATCCCTGCTCTAACCAAGTAGGAAATTAGACCTTGTTACACACCCAGAAGAGTCAATAGAGAGACCCTATATACCCTGTTCTGATACATGTGCAGATAGATATGCAAAGGTATGTATGCCCTGTTAAAATGTGGCAGCTGGGGGGCAAGGAGGAATTGTTGAATTACTTTTTGTCTATTAAAAATGGCTTTGAAGTTTCAGAATCAGTGGAGTGACTTCTTTTACTTAACCTCTTGTACTTACAAGCTAATTCTTAAGCCCCACTGATCTTAATGTGACTTATTTTTCAGTAAACACATGCTTAGGTTTGCAATCCAAGGTGCCGGTTTTTACTAGTTAAGCCTTAAAATGTTCTAGCTCTTAGTTAGGATGCCCATATGAAACTCTGCCAAATCAATCTCTACAAAACAACAAGTGAGACCTTTTCAACTTCTATAAGTCAGACTGGTCTCAGCAACAAGCAGGAACTTTTCTGTTTTGGCCCCCAGGATCTGTGGTGCTCTTTGAAAGTTGTTCTGTTTATTCCCGAAAGATTTTGGCAAATTGACACACACACACACACACACACACACCCCCGCCAACCCTGCTGCACTGCCTTTCTGTTGCTACTGATATAGTTTTAAAGCTGGGATTATCAAATTTTAAACCCACAGGCCCCTTTTGAGATGGCTGAAAATTACTGAGGGTCACAAGTCACATTTCCCTGAGAGTCTTTCTTCCAAATATTATCAATGAAGCAAGCACCTTGCCCAGCTTTCCAAATTCTGGGGATCCTTAGATGTTTATTGGAGGAGCTGGGATTCTCAGTGGCAGAATCAGTAGTGAGTTTTTTGACAGCTAAGTATGTACGTCAGAGCCTGGGAGCCTGGAGAGAAGTAGAAGTTGGCAACTCAGGTAGACAGGAAGAAGCCAACCCTGTTTTCCCTTTTGTGTCTCTGGTTAGCCATGCCTCTGCTTCTCCTGAGCTGCCTCCTTTTGGGATTCTTCCCATTAATAACTGCCTCTTTCCCCTCAGCCATTTTCATTCATTTCATGTTTTGTATACCTAGGCCACTTTTCACTCACACGAGTCACAAAGTGACTCACAAGCAATAACATAATTTGTTGTTGTTTAGTCGTTTAGTCATGTCCGACTCTTCGTGACCCCATGGACCAGAGCACGCCAGGCATTTTTGTCTTCCACTGCCTCCAGCAGTTTAGTCAAACTCATGCTGGTAGCTTCGAGAACACTGTCCAACCATCTCATCCTCTCTTGTCCCCTTCTCCTTGTGCCCTCCATATTTCCCAACATCAGGGTCTTTTCCAGGGAGTCTTCTCTTCTCATGAGATGGCCAAAGTATTGGAGTCTCAGCTTCAGGATCTGTCCTTCCAGTGAGCACTCAGGGCTGATTTCCTTCAGAATGGATAGGTTTGATCTTGCAGTCCATGGGACTCTCAAGAGTCTCCTCCAGCACCATAATTCAAAAGCATCCATTCTTCGGCGATCAGTCTTCTTTATGGTCCAGCTCTCACTTTCATACATCACTACTGGGAAAACCATAGCTTTAACTATACGGACCTTTGTTGGCAAGGTGACGTCTCTGCTTTTTAAGATGCTGTCTAGGTTTGTCATTGCTTTTCTCCCAAGAAGCAGGCGTCTTTTAATTTCGTGCCTGCTCTCACCATCTGCAGTGATCATGGAGCCCAAGAAAGTAAAATCTCTCACTGCCTCCATTTCTTCCCCTTCTATTTGCCAAGAGGTGATGGGACCAGGGGCCATGATCTTCGTTTTTTTGATGTTGAGCTTCAAACTATATTTTGCACTCTCCTCTTTCACCCTCATTAAAAGGTTCTTTAATTCCTCCTCAGTTTCTGCCATCAATGTTGTGTCATCTGCATATCTGAGGTTGTTGATATTTCTTCCGGCAATCTTAATTCCGGCTAGGGATTCATCCAGCCCAGCCTTTCGCATGATGAATTCTGCATATAAGTTAAATAAGCAGGGAGACAATATGCAGCCTTGTCGTACTCCTTTCCCAATTTTGAACCAATCAGTTGTTCCATATCCAGTTCTAACTGTAGCTTCTTGTCCCATGTAGAGATTTCTCAGGAGACAGATGAGGTGATCAGGCACTCCCATTTCTTTAAGAACTTGCCATAGTTTGCTGTGGTCGACACAGTCAAAGGCTTTTGCATAGTCAATGAAGCAGAAGTAGATGTCTTTCTGGAACTCTCTAGCCATAATCCAGTGCAAATAACATAATAGAACATCACAATTATAGAATAATTATCAAACCAGTAAAACAACCACCTTCTATAAAGCACTATTGTTATAAGAATTCTAAGGTCTCAAATATAGAATAAATATTCATAAATGCACATGTTATAAGAATGTTTAGGTCTTATATAATAAATGTTCATAAGTGTACCAAGCAAACACATATATAAATATATAAACCACATGTCTAAAACCCCCAGGAAAAGTCTGAAAGCCATTTTGACTCTTTCAGTCACCTCAAATATTTCTCAACAAGGTTGAAGGAAATGCAGATACCTCCCCATTGTCTCTGTCCTCACAAATGTGCCTTAAGGGCACATTTAAGGTGTGAATAGGGTGAGCCTGTGACCTGGCTCAGCAATTAAGTATTATCATTACAAAAGAATAGCAAGGCTCCCCAGGTAATCCAGTCAAGTGACCATTAACAGGTAACTTGGCAGACTGGGTGAAAACAATGCATTCAGATTTCTGTTGTCACCTTCTGTGATGTATGTATGATGTTTCTGGGGGTGCTCTTGGACTCCAGGGCGGGCAATTTAAAATGGCTGGGGTTCTCCTTCTCTCTCCTGCGTGTGCAGGGAGCACCCTGCTGCAACAGTTAATAAAGATCAGGCTTACTAGCTGCTTTGCTTCTCAATATTCTCTGGTTGGTCTCTGTTATTTTCTCCTACCGATAGAGAACCTACAAAAGGACTCTATATGGTCTCTTGGGTACCCCATAAGGGAAAAGGAGCAGGTTTTTTTACTTATATCACACACATATCTAAATTATGTGTCTAAAATAGTAGAGAACAACCCTGAAGCCAGATGCAGTTTCTCCAGCTGGCCCTGATCCACCTTCTCCTCAGCCTCCTTGTCTTAGGGGCTTTCCCCCTCCTTTCTCTTACTTATGGCTGCCTCTCCTCCCTCAGCCACCATGTCCTTTTGGGCATCACAAGTTATCTGTATTTAACTGCAACAGTGCAGCCTCCCAAGGCCTGACAACTGCAGGGGCAGCTCAGCAGTGATCTGTTTCTTTAAAAAAAATACTTGTCAAATGAAACTCCGAATGTATTTTGATGTATTTTGAAAGACCTTTATTTAGAAATAAGAGTTGGCTGGCACTTAAGCCCTGCATTCTGTCACATGGAAGATGGAGCAAACTTGTTTTCTCCTGCTGCGGAGGGAAAGCTCAAACCAATGGCTTCAAGTTACAAGGAAGGAGATTCCGACTAAACATCAGGAAGAACTTTCTGACGGTAAGTTGTGGACTTTCCTTCCTTGAAGGTTTTTAAGCAGAGATTGGATGGCTCTCTGTCATGGATGCTTTCACTAGATTCCTGCATTGCAGGGGGTTGGACTAGATGACCCTTGGGGTTCCCTTCCCACTCTATGATGCTATGATGTCTCTTCATTGCTTTCACCAGGAGGGTTTGTTATGTATTCAGACTGGCTGCAGTTCTCACTCTGGGCCACCAGTATGCAAATGAAGGATTGAGAGTTGCTTTCGCCAATTGGGTAGTTAGTTGGAATTTGTTACTGTTACAAGTTATTGAGTATTATATAAGGCAGCCAGCTTCACTGTTGTTCAGAGAGACTTAGAGCAGTGCTAACTGCTGTAATAAAGGGCTGTTGCTTAAAAGAGCTGTGTCTGTTGTAGCAGGACCCCCCCCACCCCAATCATTCTGCTTGTACAAACTTCACACACACACACACTCACACACTACATACGCCACATTTCTGTTATAAATTCATAGAAAATCAACCATACATTGGATTTGCACTGTTCCATTTTTATTTTACTCCATATGACAAGAACTAACAAAAGGGGAGGGGGGTTTGGCCCTGGTCAGCCATAATCCCTCCACCATCTCAGCACATCTCAGCACATCTGCAGGAGCCCTGCCCAGATGATCCTAGACAGAAGGCAATCAAGATCACAAAGAACTTGCATATGGGAGTGGATTCAGCATGGACTGAAACAAAGGACAATGATCAGATCTTCCCTCAGGGGGCAGGAAACTGCAAACTCCCCTTTGTCTCCTGGAAGTGACTCATGGGGAGGGGGGAAAGGAGGAACCAGCCAGGTGACAAGACACTCAGGTTACCACCAACTCCTCCCTCAACCCCTCCTTTCTGTAATGTATGCATGATGTTTCTGGGGGTGGGCTTGACCTAGAGGAGGGGAATTTCAAAAGTTTTTATAAGACCTGGCACACTATTTTTCTGGGTCTTTCCTCTCTCCTGCAAGTGAGGGGAACACCCTGATGCATCAGTTCAATAAAGGCCAAGCCTACAGGCTGCTGTTTTGCTCCAAGTTATCCTGGTTGGTGTCTTTGTTTTGTCCAAGGGAGCCCTCGGATTTTTCCAGTAACACTGTCACCCATCTTTCCCACTATACAACAAAAAGGTGTGTGGTTTGTTTGTTTTTATGCAAAGCTTCAAAGAGTTAAACCCAGAGAAGGTTGTTTCCTAGAAAGGCCCACCAAGGATTGCAGAGAGGAAGCATGCAAAACAGTGAAGCCTCCTTTCCTGTTATGCCGGGGATGTTCCCCAAAGGGACTAGAGCTACTATGCAATCCTTACAATATTTCCGGTAGTCAACTCAACGGATTTCCACCCTAACTTTCAATGCAAGGGGTATATAATGCAGAGACAGAAAAAAACATATTGTTACTTTCACAAAATGCTTATGTGAGATGCAAGGTTGTCACCACAGACTTGCCAAGGAACAAATCGATGCCACATTGTGCCCACAGAAAAGTCTTTGTTGCTTTCAGACGAATATCGGCTGTAGAGGCTGTGTACCTTTTTCTCTTCCTCTGTGAAATTCCTTATATTAGGAGCAGAGGGATAAGAAGAGAATCTGGAGTGGAGCAAAGAGGTAAACTCTCTTGGTTTATTGCAGGAACAGAACATGGCAAAAACGTGACTGCTCACCTGTATGGGAATGGCTGTGGAAAACAAAGAAATATCATTTGACACTGTGCAGCTGGAACTTCAGGTTGGAGCTGATAATGTTGAAGCATTTGTTATTGATGCTGTAAAGACAAAGATGGTACATTGCAAAGTTGATCAAACAGAGAAAAGTAGTGGTCAGTCACAGCACACATCAAACCTTTGGAAAACAGCAGTGGCAACACTTAACTTCTGGAAACTAAATTTGAATCAAGTGAAAAACAGTCTCCTTAGCTTGCCGGATACCTGATTATTTGATGTAATATTTAGTTTGTATTGGATGGAAACGCGGCTATATTAAACCCTTCAACTCAATTTTGTGAATTTTTTATTGAAAATATCTAAGTGGCTAGAATACATAAAATAACTTGAACCACAGGCTGATAAAGCAATAAACTTTAAACAAGAATAAAAAGGGGGGAAGAGAAAGGTTTCCTCAACAGCTTACAAATATAAATGAAAAGACATGACACAAAAGGAAAATTTATTGGGAGGGGGTAAGTAAGCATAGGCACTGCTTCTCAGGCCCCATCTACGGCTTTATACACTATGCATTTAAAGCAGAATGTGCCTCTTTAAACCCCACAAATTTTTGGGAACTGTAGTTTTGTAAGACTGCTGAGGGTTGTTAGGAGACCCCCTACCCCCCTCACAGAGCTACAGTTTCCAGAGTGGCTTAACAGTCCGTCTTTCTTCCTGGGGAACTCTGGGAACTGTAGCTCTAGCAGGGAATGGGGAAGGCTCTGCTAATAATTCTCAGCACGCTTGAGCTACAGTTCCCAGGATCCTTTGGGGGAAGCCATGAATGTTTAAAGTGGTATGATTCTGCTTTTGATGTGCAGCACAGATGGGGCCTCAGTTACAGAATTCTTACCAGGACCACCTGAAGAGAAAAGAAATTATGCAAATGCATAGAATAAAAAAGGAGTCACAAACTCCTGTTTGTTTTTTCTTGTTTTTCTGAAGGCGCAAGACATTATTACTGCAGGATCTGGCGAGGATGAAAATGGAGGTGTGAAAGCTTTGACGGGATGGATGCTTGGGCCATAGGCAAGAGACTCATGTCCTCCAGGCTGGGAGTATTGGAGAAGTGCTTCCAAGAATGCAGCTGGTCAAACAGGAGCCATGTGAGAGTCTGTTTCAGCACTGGGAAATGCAGTGGTAGGAGTTCCTGAGGACGGTGGAATCATAGAATCATAGAGTTGGAAGAGACCACAAGGGCCATCGAGTCCAACTCCCTGCCAAGCAGGAAACACCATCAGAGCACTCCTGACATATGGTTGTCAAGCCTCTGCTTAAAGACCTCCAAAGAAGGAGACTCCACCACACTCCTTGGCAGCAAATTCCACTGTCGAACAGCTCTGACTGTCAGGAAGTTCTTCCTAATGTTTAGGTGGAATCTTCTTTCTTGTAGTTTGGATCCATTGCTCCGCGTCTGCTTCTCTGGAGCAGCAGAAAACAAGCTTTCTCCCTCCTCTATGTGACATCCTTTTATATATTTGAACATGGCTATCATATCACCCCTTAACCTCCTCTTCTCCAGGCTAAACATGCCCAGCTCCCTTAGCCGTTCCTCATAAGGCATCGTTTCCAGGCCTTTGACCATTTTGGTTGCCCTCCTCTGGACATGTTCCAGTTTGTCAGTGTCCTTCTTGAACTGTGGTGCCCAGAACTGGACACAGTACTCCAGATGAGGTCTGACCAGAGCAGAATACAGTGGCACTATTACTTCCCTTGATCTAGATGCTATACTCCTGGAGGGAGAGCCAGTGCGGGCAGTACAGACATTTCTGCTACCGGGAGGCCGAGGGGCCCAGAGGGGCTTACAGTCGGCTCCGGGAGCTGTGCCACGGGTAGCTGAAGGCCGAGAGGAACACCAAGGAGCTGGTCCTGGAGCAGTTCCTGGCTGTGGTTTTTATTTAATCCAGGGGTGGGGAAAGCTGTTGAGCCTGAGGGCTGCATTACCTCCTGGGCAACGTTTTGTGGGCCACAGGCCAATGCTGGGCAGGGAAAACATTAGCCAATATTACTATCTCAATTTGGCGGCAAAATGTGTGGAAAATTGTGCTTCAGGGGAGAGGGAAAAAATCACTTGGCACGTTAGGTTGGAAAAGCTAAACCCAGACCATTTTGCCGCTCTGTTTTGGGACTTCATCTCACATGTCAGTAATGAACAATTGCATCTTCCATCCGTTCGGCTGCTCATTTGAAATATAGTTTTTGAATCACAATGCCTTTCCTTATTGACTTGACTGGTTCCCCCCCCCCCCCAATGCAGCTTCCTTCGCTCCAAAAAAAAGTTGTGATTAATTTATATAATATATGGTCTAGCTCTTCGCGCCAGTTACTTTTGGTTCCCATGCTGATCCAAACTGGTTGGACTGTTCTTCGTTGTTTAATTTTTGTTTTTGGCACTGTTCTGTATCACTTTGATAAATACCTCAATTAAAAATTATTACAAAGAGAACATGGGAGCCTCAGAAGAGTCTTAGAACAGAGGGAGCGACCCTCCTGTCCTTTTGTCTCACACAACAACCCTTGCATGAAGCAGTCCTGGGACTTGGGGAACAGGGTGTCATTGCTGCTTCATTTTAGGCAGCAAAATATCTTGGATTAGCTCTGCACACGCATCAAGAGTAGAAAAGAAACCCTTGTCATTCCCTCCAGGGCAACTTTCCAGGGGCACATGCTGAGGGTGGGGAGGCAAGGCCAGGAGCTGAACTGGGCAGAGCAACAAAAGTAAATTTTACCTCTGTAAAGTAGGTAAGATCCCCTCCTGCATTGCAGGGGGTTGGACTAGATGACCCTCAGGTCCCCTTCCGACTCTACAACTCTATCATTCTAAGACAAGCATTATCAGAGTTCAAGGACACTTGCGAGGGGCAGCAAGACCAGGGAGGGGCCACACAGAGAGGGTTCGAGAGATTCATTTTGCCACCAAGACTAATATTCCACCTATGCAGAGGGAGTTATCTACAAGCAATTTAAGACTGGATTACAGCAATGCGCTCCATGCAGGGCTTCCGCTGCACTCGATCCAGAAGCTACAGTTAGTGCACAATTGCTGACAGAAGCGAGGCCTTCTCAGCATATAGCGCCTGCACTCAGAGATCTGCACTGATTGGGAATTTGCTACTGGGCCTAGTTGAACGTGTCACTGTTAATATATAAAGCCCTTACCTTGGGACTGGTTAACCTACAAGATCGCCTTACCCAATATACACCCACTCTTACCACTTCAATCGGCGGAACGGGCACTTCCAAGTGCCACAAAATACCTGTTCCACCTACACTTTGGGACTCCCTGCCTGGTGAGACCAAGCAGGCATCTTCACTGTGCTCCTTTCAGTGCCTGATAAAAACAGGTTTGTTAGGCAAGCCTACCAAAATATTTAGAAAGCTTTAATCTGTTTTTAGTGTATTGACTAAAATCTCTCTCAAAGTCTTAAATTATTGTTGTTCTTATTGGGAATTTTTTTATTTTATATTTTTTTGAAAACCACTTAGAGGTTTGCTTGTTTGTTTTACAATCAAGCAGTGTATGAATTTTACGAAATACAGGGGTACCTCGGGTTAAGTACCTAATTAGTTCCGGAGGTCAGTTCTTAACCTGAAGCACCACTTTAGCTAATGGGGTCTCCCGCTGCTGCGCCGCCTCTGGAGCACGATTTCTGTTCTCATCCTGAAGCAAAGTTCTTAACCCGAGGTAGTATTTCTGGGTTAGCAGAGTCTGTAACCTGAAGCGTATGTAATCTGAGGTACCACTGTAAATAAGAAAATACTGGTGGAACTGCGGGGAACTCTTAACTTGACTTCCCTTGCCTGCAAGCCTAAAATTGCAAAAACATCTGAGGGCTATTCCAGACCTTACCAGTCTCTGATGAAGCAAGAGAAGACAGCAAAGGGTCTTGTGGCACCTTTAGGCCGTAACAGCTTAATAATAATAATTCATTTTTAAGAGCAGAAGCTTCTTTAGACCAGATCATCAAATGCAAATTGCTATTTGCAATGGGGCTGTGTTGTTCAGTGGTCAGAGCATCTGCTTTGCATGCAAAAGGTCTCAGTTTCTGGCATCTCCAGGAGAGGGAAGTCAAGGAGACTCTCGCCTAAAATTCTGGAGAACCTCTGCTGCCAGTCAGTGCATGCAATAGTGCGCTGGATGGGCCCAATGGATGAAGGCACCTTCCCATCTTACAATTTAATCAAAAAGACACAGAGAGACATTTGATCCGTTTCATCTGAATCGGCGGTGGGAACGCGATTTCCCCTTCTCCCTCGGTTCAAAAGGGGACCGGAAATAGAGTAAGAAACGCGTTTGTGTTGCAGCCTCCTCCCTGCCTCTTGCTACCTTCCTCCTTAAAAAGCGTGGCAGCCCGATTCGGCCTTAAATGCAGCTTTCCCGGGGAAAGTAAAGCTTGCAAACGCCAACCACCCCCGCTAAGGTTTGGCCTGATCCGGATTGCAACCTTCTCCTGTCGTCCCAGAGTGATGGAGGGAGAGAGAAAGTATTGATGGAAAGGGTTAAACTCAGATTCCTGGGAAATTTGAGAAGGGGGGTGGAACTGGAAGTGGTGTAATAATTCTCTCTCTTTCTCCCTCCCCTTCTCTTTCCTGCTTTGTTGAGAGGGTCGGATGCCTGCTTTTGAATGGCTGCGAGAGAAAGGTGAGTTTTAAAGGGGCGGATTTGGCCGAAATGTGGTGGGAGCTGGTGCAGATCAGAGAAATGCAGGAAGGAGGAGTTGCAAAGATGTGTTACCTGTCCGGGCTGCGTGCGGAGCGACTGGGAAAGTTGGGCTTCCAACTAGGTTCGGGGCTGGGTGGGTAGGAAGCCCCCGCTGCAACCCCGCACCTTTTGAGCTTGTCGATTTGCAGGTCTGGAAACAACAACATGCGCAGAGTGGCTGGCCAGGTCTGCTGTGGGAACCCCGTCTTCTGATCTAGAAGCTGTTACCCCCAAATCATCCTTGAAGTGGGGGCTCTTCTCTCTGCGGTTCAAAAGGCCACACCAGCATTTCTGCCCCACCTTTTCCTTCAAGGAGTGCAAGGCGCTGCACATGGTTCTTCCCTCTTCATTTCATGCCCACAACAACCTTGTGAGGTATCTGAAGAAGTGTGCTTGCACACGAAAGCTCATACCAAGAACTAACTTAGTTGGTCTTTAAGGTGCTACTAGAAGGAATTTTTTTGTTTTGACTATGGCAGACCAACACGGCTACCTATCTGTAACTTGTGAGGTAGGTTAGGAAGAGAGATTGGCCCAGTGAGCTTCATGACTGAGTGGGGATTCGAACCCTGATCTCCCTAGTCCGACGCTCTAACCGCTGCTACTCCCAGGGGAAGAGTGTACAGCAGGAGTGGGGAACCTGTTCCCAGCCCGAGGGCCACATTCCCTTCCAGGCAGCCTTCGGAGGGCCATATGCCGGTTGTAGGAGATGGGAGCAAGGCAAAAACAGGCACTGTTTGTGGGAAAAGGTGGTTGGAATAACCAATGTAAATTGACGGGAGTTGTAGTCCATCAACATCAGGGAGGGGGGATTTGAGTCTGAGACTGAGCAGGCTTCTGTTTCCCCAGCTTCTGGGACTTGAGCACATGTTGTAAATGGCACTATACATTGAAAGCACTATGATAATCACGTTAAACTGTCATGGCTTCCCTCCCAGGGAATTCTGGGAGCTGTAGTTTGTTGAAGGTGCTGGGAGCGGTTCAGAGAGACCCCAGTTCCCCTCACAGACCTACAAATCTTAGAGTTCCTTGGGAAGAGGGGTTGATAGTTCAACCACTATGGCAATTGTGGTGTTTTAAATTTTATAGTGCCACAATTTGCCAAAATGGCTCCTTCTTTATGCCCTTTGGTGTTTTGTTCTTTTTCTTCTCTGCAGGGACCGGTCCCACTTGCTGTTCAGAAAGACACCCAGGGGATACCGTCAGAGAAAGTCTCTGCAAAATGCTGTAGGATCTCCTCCTTGAACTGAACCTGTCTGTATAGCCATAGACCCGAAACAAAAATTTGACGTTACGAGTGTGGGATATTTGTCCCAATCCCCCCCACCCTGAAGCAGAGAGAGGACACTAAGGATCCAAGATGGAGGAGAGGTTAGAACCCGCAGGCCAAGCACCACCGCATGGCGTCACCATGGCATGCCTGAAGGAGTTACCGGGCCAGGCAGCGCTGCAAAATGGCAAGCAGCAGCTTGAGGATGGGCTGCCCCAGGAATGGGCAACCCAGTGTCAGGAGTTCCTGAAGGCCCTGGACTCCCATCGCCTAGGATGGGGAAGCCCACCACGGTCAAAGCTTGGGCCGTGGGACGATGCCAAGGCCTTTCTGGCTTCCTTTGAGCAAGTGGCTGAAGCCTGCCAATGGCCTCGAGAAGATTGGGCGGCGCGTCTCCTGCCGGCTCTCAGCGGAGAAGCCCAGCAGGCCTTTAGCGGCCTAGAAGCTGCCGAGAGGGAGGACTACAGGAAGGTGAAGGCGGCCATCTTGCGAGGGGAAGCCAGCAGAATGGAGGCGCTGCGGCAGCACTTCCGGCAGTTCCGCTACCAAGAAGTCGAGGACCCGCGAAGGGTCTATGGGCAGCTCCAGGAGCTCTGCCATCAGTGGCTGAAGCCGGAGAGGCGCAGCAAGGAGCAGATCCTGGAGCTGCTGATCCTGGAGCAGTTCCTGGCCATCTTGCCCCAGGAAATGCAGAGCAGGGTCAGGGCCTGGGACCCGGACACCAGCACCCAGATGGCGGCAGAGGAGTTCCTGATGAGTCCCCAAGAGGCCAAGGCTTGGAAATGGCAGGTGAGGTTTTAATGCATGTTGCCGTTTAATTCAGGTGTGGAGGAACCATTAGTCTTCTAGATGCTTCTGAAGTGCAACTCCCATCATCCCTGGCCATCAGCCATGATGGGAGTTGGAGTCCAATGGCAGCTGAAGGACCGCAGGTTCCTCACCCCTGCGCTACTTGGACGGCTCCTGGGTTTTCGAATGAGGCCCCATCTGCCCTGTACTTTTAAAGCAGTCTTGTACCACTTGAAGCCGTCATGGCTTCTTCTCCCAGTGAACCTTGGGAACTGTTTGTTGAGGGTGCTGACCCTATTCCCCTCACAGAGCCACATTTCCCAGCATTCCATGGGAAGAGAGCCTGACTGTTAAAGTCACCTGGAAATTGTAGCTGCGTGAGGGGAATGGCAGGGTCTTCTCACAACTTTTCCTGCTTCAGTAATGTTCAATTGCCAGTGTTCAACTAAAATTCAACGGCTATTCGGGCTTGCATATGGAAGTCTCTTCTAGTCTTTCACCTCAGGCAGCAAAATACCTTGAGCCAGCACATGGGGCATCCATGACAGTTTATATAACGGGGGAAGTAGCAGGGAGAACAGCCACTTCCAGCCCCCAAAACAAACCATAATTCCCAGCTTTCAACCAAAAAGAACAGAGGAAAGTTTTTTGCATTTGTGAAAGCTGTGCTGTCTGTCTATCCATCTATCTATAACTTTTTTTATTAAATTTTCTGTTTTACAATTTTGAATACTCATTTAAACATCCTTAAATTATCAACGACTTCCCTTCTTCTCTTTCCATGGTTCATTTTGCATACCATAAATCCCTGTATATTTTATATAAACTAAACCATTCCGTATTCCATTATTACATCCATCAAAGCTTATTTACACTGTTGAATTTATCTTAATGCTGCCAACATTTTCAAGTGAACACAATTTCCCGCCATATGTTCAATAAACCTTTTCCAATCTTCTCTAAACGTATGTTCTTCTTGTTCTCTTATTCTATATGCTAAGTCTGCAAGCTGCACATAATCTATCAACTTGCCATTCTTCTTTGGTTGGGACCTAGCTCATTTTCAATTTTTGGGCTAACAAAACACAGGCCGCAGTAGTGGCATACATAAATAATCTTTTTTGACACCTGTCTGAATTATCCCCAACAAAAAGGACTCTGTTGTTGTTTTTTGGGGAAAGTACTTTTAAACATTTTTTTTCAGTTCACTTTGGATTATTTCCCAGTGCTCTTTTACCCTTTTACAAGTCCACCACATATGAAAGAACGTTCTCTCAACCTCCTTGCATCTCCAGCACTTATCTGATTCAGTCTTAAACATCTTAACTAGCCTACTCAGAGTTAAATACCATCTGTAAATCATTTTTGAGTAGTTCTCCTTCAAAGAATAACATGCTGTGAACTTCAAATCACTTTTTCAAAGATTTCCCCAGAGATTAAAATCTATTTTATGTCCTACAGTATATCTGTTACCCAGTGTGTCATAGAGGCTTGGGCAAGCTCATCTTTTGCTCCTTTTTTCATGCCATTTATGAATTGCTTTCCCAAAAAATACCTCAATGATAAAAATAATTTAAAAACAATCCCACGTGCGAAAGCAATTAAGAACAATTCCACACTGCAGTAGGTGCTGTAACTCTCCATCAGTTTGACTTCGCCCACCAAGGCACACTCTTCCATCGTCTTCCAGGAATAAAAAAACTATTTCAAATCCAATATGGATATAGGCTGGGGTAAAAATCTGCACTTGAAAGGATGGTTGAACAAGGAAGGCCTTCAATATGCACCACACAGACAATAGAGGTGACACAAAATGCCCAGGCGCTTTTCTCATTTGACCCACCCCCCTTTTGTAAGACGCTTCCCTGCTTCCCCCTTCCCCCTCCTGCCCTCCTCTCAAGCCCTCCTGCGTCTTCCCCATCCTGAGTGGGATCTGTGTTGTTCTTTTTCAGATGCCGGCGGAGGAAGTGCCCACGAACCCCTCAGGAGCCAAGGGGGCACCTCAGAGGCAAATATGCATAGAGGCTGATGAGAAAGCAGAAAAAGACCTCTGTTTGCTGGGTGAGGATTCATTGGGCTAGCGCAGCATTTATTCAAACTGGATTCCTGGGATCCCTCTGCGGCTTTTCAGAGGATCTCGCGATGAGAAAACTAGCAACGGCTGAAAGACAGTCGTGGCTTCCCCCAAATATTGAAGGACTACAAGTCCCATTAGCCCTCACTGCTGGCCATGCCGGCTGTGGATGATGGGAGTTAGAGTCCAGCAACTTCTGGAGGCCCACTAGGTTGGAGAAGGCTATTTTAGGGGACAAACAAAGATGGCTTGGGTTCCATTTGGCACTGCTATGACATCTGTGCTGGTTATTTCTGGGCTCAGAGTGCAGCAAAGAGGGGCTAGCTACCATGTGGCCTCCACTCTAAGGAACAAAATGTCTGCCTTGTAAAACAGATCCACCGGTTGCCAGTTTGTTTCAAGGAGCTTAGGCCTCAAATATCTACTTGTCTTAGGCCTCAAATATCTGAGATGACCTCTTTCCCTACAGACCCTCCCGGGTGTTAAGATAAGCAGAGGGGGCCTTCTTGGTAGTTCTGCTCATCCCAGAAGTTCAGGGTGGGGTAGCCCAAGAGAGAGCCTTCTCTAGCATCCCCAAGATTGTGGAACTCCTTACTCTCAGAGCTGTTTCTGGCTCCTTCATTATATAGCTTCTGACTGTAATTTGTTTTAAACTCAGTGCTGATTTTCAAGAAAAATCGGTGCTGGAACTCACCATGAACGCCTCCCTTGTTCTCTTATAATGGCAATTAACGTTCCAGTGAGTTTCAGCTGAAAAAAGCCCTGTTGAAATTTATTTTCCTAGTGGGTTTTAAATCGCTGCAACCTGCCCAGGACCTTATCGGGAAGGGCGGATAAGAAATTGACTCGATCACTGTTATTGGTATCTGAAACATTCCCCTCGTTTACAGCCAGCGGAATAATGTCGCCAAGTCATCCCAGTCCGGTGCTTCCTCCCGAAGAACAAGAAATAGTCAACACTGAGCTTTCTGAGGTATGTGAGGTTCTGGAGTGGGAAATAAGTTTTGACCAGAGGGCGACATTTCCTTCTGGGCAACTTTCCAGGAGCCACACAGCAGTAGGGCCAGAGACAAAAGTGAATGGAGTAACAAGTGTGAATTTTACCATTTGGAGAGTAGGACTATATCTGTATGTTCACACATGCTTATGTGCATGTGCGCGCACACACACACCACACACCGTTTTTCATCCAGGCAAGCAGGAGTTCAAGGGCACATTCCAAGAAACCAAAAACACTTGAGGAAGGCATGAAGCAGGGCTGGTGAGGGGAAACATCCGAGGGCCAGATAATGTCCTGGGAGCTGCATTTGGCCCCTGAGCTTGATGTTTTGCAGCCATGATCTAATTTGAGGCAGAGCAAGGCAAACCAGGTGGGCCTATACCTCAATGAGCCTACAGTCTTGACAGTGGGGAGAGATAATGGAGAGGAGGAAAGGGCCAGTCTCCAAAATTAGACAGCCATTAGAATCATAGAGTGGTAGAGTTGGAAGGGACACTAAAGGTCATCTGGTCCAACCCAAGACAATGCAGGAATGTAGGGGATACTTTTATCGTTCCAGGGAAGTGTGAATTTGAACGAGGTGACTGTGGCTTTGGGCAGTGCTGAGTGGGCAGTGCTGAACACCAGTCAAGGAACCATGCATTGGGAAGTCATGCAGGAAGACTCTGAGGACATCAGCTCTCTAGGTAAGGAAGCCCTCGCCCTGTATTAATGGAATGTGGCAGAAGAGAGAATCTGAGCTTGTTTTTTTAATGCATCAAAATATAATAATGAAAAAGGTGGGGGGGAGAACAAACACGTTTTATTTATTTCCAATTCTTTACGGACCGATTTTCACGGTAAAGGGACCCCTGCTCATCTCACTTTATTGGCCGAGGGAGCCGGCGTCTAGCTTCCGGGTCATGTGGCCAGCATGACTAAGCCGCTTCTGGCGAACCAGAGCAGCGCACGGAAACGCCGTTTACCTTCCCGCTGGAGCGGTACCTATTTATCTACTTGCACTTTGGTGTGCTTTCGAACTGCTAGGTTGGCAGGAGCAGGGACCAAGCAATGGGAGCTCACCCCTTCGCGGGGATTCGAACCGCTACCTTCTGATCGGCAAGTCCTAGGCTCTGTGCCACCCGCGTCCCTAATATTCACTATAGATGGTCACAAAGCAGTTTCCACAACAATCAATAAAACGATCCCTCCATGAAAAGAACAGGGTGTTGTCTTGAGCTGTTGGAACTGGGCTTGGGTTGGCGGACTCGTGACGCACCCTCCTCCCTGCCCTCATCCTATATCCTAATGGCAAGCTCATTGCTTTAGTTGGGATCCTAATTCAACTGAAACAGCCCCATCCATACAGAAGAGAGAAGCATCGGTAAACTTGGGGTAATGCCCCAAGATTTGCAATGCACGAAACTTCTTTGTGGGTGGGGGAGCCCCTCAGAAGAGACCGCCCCACACAAAAAGCCAATCTAATGAAGATTGACCATGTTCATTGGTCATGGAATGCTGGGTGGCTGTTTGTGAGGGAGGAAAACTGGAGGATGAATGAAACGGAGTACAGTGGAACAGGGTTTGGCTGACTGAGGATCTCATTCTGCAACCGCTTCTGCTTAATCCCCAACCAGCAGGCTGAGTAGAAAGTGTTCTGTGCTTATTTTAAAACTGTATTTTATTGAATCTCCAAAAATATCCCAAACCATTTATCATCATATACAAAAAAATACTTTCCAACATAAATTTCTTCTTGACTTCCCACTGATCTTTCCTGATATTTGTTGTTGTTGTTTTTTTGCTTCTTTTTATTAGCTGTTTTGCAATACATCTGTTTTTATTATCTAAACTTCACTACCATTAGTTATTTCAGTAACCCACTGCTTATATTTCAAATCCTGCCCGCGATTTCATGTATAGGTGATATTTTGATAGATAATCCATCAATGGCCTCCATTCTTTTTTAAACACTTCGTCATTATGTCCTCTTAGTCCAGCAGTTAATTTCCACCATTTCATCAGAGTCCATCAGTTTCATAAACCAGCTTATTTTGAAATTTTTTATGTTGGAATCCACCAATACTCTTTGTCCTGCAAAACGTTCAGTCAATGACTATTTCTCTCAATATTCCTTTTATCTCTGTTTCTCTCTCTATTCTAAGGAGGGTTTGTGATTCCCAAACCAGAGACTGTATCCCAAATGGATAAAGGAGACATGGGTTTCATCCAGGACTCTGAGGATGGCGAGGTATTTGCAGAAAGCATCTCAGGTAAAGGGGAGGGGTATTAAAGGCAGGGCGGGGCTTAGTTGGGAGGGGGTGGTTACAGAGGGGTGCATCACACACCCTGGGATTGCTTTCATTGTGCCTGTTTTTCCATGTGCCACTTCCTGCTTTTCTTGTCCTGGGTGCTGATTGGCCGGGAAAGTTACACACGGTTGACCACACCCACATGGCTTCTTCAGCCAATCCACATGTCAGAATGAGGTGGGAGAATTCTGAGGTGGTTGAACAGACTGTACCACTTCAGACTGTGTGGGGAAATGTCATTTTTTAAAAGTCCCATGTAGTAGTAGTAGTAATAATAATAATGTTGTTTAGTCGTGTCCGACTCTTTGTGACCCCATGGACCAGTGCACGCCAGGCACTCCTGTCTTCCACTGCCTCCTGCAGTTTGGTCATAATAATAATAATAATTATTATTATTATTATTATTTATACCCCGCACATCTGGCTGTGTTTCCCCAGCCACTCTAGCCGGCTCCTAGCAGAATAGTAAAAGCACGATAAAACATCAAACCACTAAAAACTTCCCTGTATAAAATGAGTGAGCCAGCACCTCCCTGCAGGAAGAAATCTAACACATCAAAGAGAAAAAACCTCCTTTGCCTGTTGTGCTGGTTTACTATTTGCAAGGATCCTAAACTTACATTTACTATATGTATAGGCAAACTCCCCCTCCCCCCGAGCAGCTTCCTCCCACTTTCTCATTTAATTCTTATGACAACCCTGTGAGGTAGCTTAGGCTAAGAGATGTTGGCTGGATCAAGGTCACCCAGTGAGCTTCTTGGCTGAGTAGGGATTCAAACTCTGATCTCCCAAGTCCTAGTCCAGCATACTGGCTCATGATGCAAACTGGGGAGAAAGAGGAATCGCCTCCATTGCCAATAAGCTGATTGGGGACATCTGAAAAGACCTGTTCACAACAGTTTGCAAGCGGAGACAGTGAGCTGATCGCTGGGATTTCTGCACACCATGCTTGGGAAAACAGGTTAGCTGTGACATCATGCATGAGCCTACTGTCTCTGCTCCCTTGTGTGTGGATGGTGGCATTTTAGTTGCATAAGGAATGGCACTCACACTCTGAACGTTGGTAATGACAGGAATTCTTGATTCTTTTTTATATATAATTTTTATTAAATCTCCAAAAATATTCAAAAATATTGTACAGAACCCCCCCATAAAGTTTCCAATTGACTTCCCACCCACCCTTTCCTAATGCTTGTTTTTTACTCCATTTTCTGAGCTGTTTACAACACACGGGTTTTTACTATCTAAATTCTAGTTCTTTCATTAATCCCGCTGCTTATATTTCAAATCCTGCCAGAGATTATGTATGGGTGACACTCCGATAGATAATCCTATCCTCCTTAAATACTTCATCATTATGTCCTCCTAATCTGGCAGTTAATTTTGCCATTTCAGCATAGTCCATCAGTTTCATAAGCCTTTCCTTCTTCGTTGGTAATCCTTCCTCTTTCCACCCCTGTGCATATGAAGTTCTAGCTGCTGTTGTCACGTACATAAATAAATTAGTCAACTTTCTCAGGATCTCCATCCAAATTATTCCTAGCAAAAAGGCTTTGGGGTTTTTTTAAGGACTGTCAGTTTGAACAGAATTATTGTCTGCGTTATCTCTCTTTGCAGATGATGAAGAACTTCAAATCAAGAAGGAGAGTCCTCCGCAAGGAGGCAGAGAGCCGGATGAAATATACAGCATGTCACTGGAAATATCCCAAGGGAAGGCTTCTCTGGTAGCCGAGATTCACGAACAAGGATGCAAATCTGACGAGCGATGGGGAGGAAAGCCAGCGGAGGGATGGGGTGAATTAAACGAGGTGGCAGAAAGTCACGGGGCAGTGAAGGAAACCTCGAGACATGCACGGGTGAATAAATTTCTGTACTCGAAGGGCGGGAAATGGTACCGATGCAAATCCGGACTGGTTGCAAACCAGAGTGTCCACTCCGCAGCCCTGCCTTACGAGTGCCTCGCGTGCGGGAAGCGTTTCCAGAAGAAGAATTACCTGGCCAAACACCAGAGGATCCACGCGAGGCCCAAGGTGTACCAGTGCTCCGAGTGCGGGCAGAGCTTCAACGGGCGAGAAGGGTTCGTCCGGCACCGAGGGACGCACACAGGGGAGAAGCCTCACGAGTGCCCTCAGTGCGGGAAGTGCTTCAGCCAGAGGGAGAGCCTGATCCGGCACGAGAAGATCCACACGGGGAAGAAGCCGTACGAGTGTCCCGAGTGCGAGAAGAAGTTCTGCCGGAGGGACTCGCTGGTAAGGCACCAGAAGATCCACACAGGGGAGAAGCCGTACGAGTGTCCCGAGTGCGGGAAGAGCTTCAACCAGAAAGAGGTTCTGCTCAGGCACCAGAGGATCCACACGGGAGAGAAGCCATACGGGTGCCACGCCTGCGGGGAAAGCTTCACCCAGAGAGCCATACTGAACAGACACGAGAAAACCCATCTGGGGGAAAAGGCCTTGTTAATACTCTGAGAATTAATGTGGCTCTCAAAGATGTGCTGGCCGTTTGTGTATTTTTGTGTGTGTGTGTGTGTTTTGACAGACACAGACCTTTTTGTAAGCTGCGGATAATGCCTATGTTTTCAGAGCTATTCGGAGCAATAGCTCAAGAGCTGTTGAGCCTGGCGCTGGTTCCTAAATTCTGGATATCCTCAGACAAGAGCCGCCTCATTGGGTACTAGAAGAGGTGGGCAGGGCCAACTGAGAATTCTCTTGCTGGTCACGCCCCTTTTGGGAGAAGCCATTAATGATAGAATCTTAGAATTGTATACTTGGAAGTAATACAAAGGGTCACTTAGTCCAACTTCCTGCAATGCCGGAATCTCAGCTGAAGCATCCATGACAGATGGCTCCAACCTCTGCTTAAAAACCTCCAAGGAAGTAGAGTCTACCATCTACAGAGGGAGGCCTTTCCACTGCCTAACAGCTCTTACTAACAGAAAGTTCTTCCTGATGTTTCATTTGATTCTCCTTTCTTGTAACTTGAAGCCATTTGTTTGGGTTTTACCCTCTGGAGCAGGAGAAAGCAAGCTTGCTCCATCTTCCACATGGCAGCCCTTTGCTTTTTCCTGCTCTGGATGGGGGAAGGACCAGAACCAATGGCTTCACAAGAAAGGAGATTCCGACTAAACACCAGGAAGAACTTTGTGGCAGAAAGAGCTGTTTGACAGTGGAACTACCTTCCTCGGAAGGTGGTGGACTCTCCTTGCTTGGAGGTTTATAAGAAGACGTTGCAGGGCCACCTGCCATGGATGCTTTAGTTGCGATTCCTGCATTGCAGGGGGTTGGACTAGATGACCCTTTGTATCCCTTCCAAGTCTACAATTCTAGGAAGATCAATTATTATTATTACTGGGGTTCTAGTAAACACCTGTTTTCACAAACACTGCTCATCGCTATATCCCTTTCTCCAGCAGATGACAACTTTTAATTCATGAAGGCTGCAATCTCTCTCTCCCTCTCTCCCCCTGCTCACAGCAACACTGTTGAAATCCTGAAGTCACTCACTTCAACAGCAATACCACACCATTTCATAGGAAAATATTATAAAGGCTGCTTCACGATTGATCGGTTTCTCCTACCTCTTTCTTCTTCCCTATTTTTGGCAATTTACTAATATTATTGTGCAAGAGTGCATGTGTATGTTTTCCTTCTTTGGCTTTTCACTTAAAGGTTTTTAAATTGCTCCTGGTTTTTACACTATTTTCTACGCAACTTGGAGCAGTTTTGAAAACGAAATAAAACAAGAGCTGCCTAAGATTTATATATGTATATATAAAATATAAATAAATAAATAAACATTACTAGCCTGGCTTCTAACCCTTTCTAGGATTTATTAAAAGAACCTTTTAATGAGGGTGAAAGAGGAGAGCGTAAAATATGGTCTAAAGCTCAACATCAAAAAAACGAAGATCATGGCCACTGGTCCCATCACCTCCTGGCAAATAGAAGGGGAAGAAATGGAGACAGTGAGAGATTTTACTTTCTTGGGCTCCATGATCACTGCAGATGGTGACAGCAGCCACGAAATTAAGACGCCTGCTCCTTGGGAGAAAGGCGATGGCAAACCTAGACAACCTAACCTAAAAAGCAGAGACATCACCTTGCCAACAAAGGTCCGTATAGTAAAAGCTATGGTTTTCCCAGTAGTGATGTATGGAAGTGAGAGCTGGACCATAAAGAAGGTTGATCGCAGAAGAATTGATGCTTTTGAATTATGGTGCTGGAGGAGACTCTTGAGAGTCCCATGGACTGCAAGAAGATCAAACCTCTCCATTCTGAAGGAAATCAGCCCTGAGTGCTCACTGGAAGGACAGATCCTGAAGCTGAGGCTCCAATACTTTGGCCACCTCATGAGAAGAGAAGACTCCCTGGAAAAGACCCTGATGTTGGGAAAGATGGAGGGCACAAGGGGAAGGGGACGACAGAGGATGAGATGGTTGGATGGTGTTCTTGAAGCTACCAGCATGAGTTTGATCAAACTGCGGGAGGCAGTGGAGGACAGAAGTGCCAGGCGTGCTGTGGTCCATGGGGTCACGAAGAGTCGGACACGACTAAACAACAACAAAGGATTTATTAGGGTGCTTTTGATTGTGCTGGCACTACTCTGACATTCAGAGGACCATCTGGCCTTGCATTTGCAAAAATATGACAATAATGAAATTGGTTACATATTAAAAGAGGAAAGGTATTAGCCTGTGATGTCACCAGAAGCCAAATCCCATTACCCCGAGCCTAACAAGCTGTCAATTAATAAATAATAATATAAATAATAATAATTTATTCCCCAGCCACTCTGGGTGGCTCCCAACAGAATATTAAAAACACGATAAAACACTAAAAACTTCCCTAAACAGGGCTGCCTTCAGATGTCTTACATGGGGGTGGCTGCTATTGTTATGGAGCTTGGTATACTTAAGCAGTTTTTGCAAAAGTTCACCCGCCCTTATCAACAGGTGGTGCTGGTTAATAGATGGGTTATTTGTTGTGACATGAGTCAAAAGCATGGGTAGGGAAACGGCCAGATCTTTATCTGAGAGAAACGGGTTTCCCAACTTGCTTCTAGATGTTGCTGATGCGGTTTTGCTCAGAGGCTCCATGAGAGGTAATCACTGGCTTTCCCCATTGCCAGGGGACCTCACTTTTCCTCACCAGGTCATCCAGACTGCCTGATTCCTGGCCTTCACTTGCAACTGTGGTCACTGATCATGCAATACATCTTCACCCTGGTCTTTAAATCCCGCTGGGCAGCAACTGGGTTTTAAATGTTGAAACACATCGTTACAACTAGTGAGTGGGCCCTGAAACAAAACGACCCAGACACACTTTCCCATCACTTCTCCAGATTTTTTTGTTGTTGTTTAGTTGTTTAGTCGTGTCCGACTCTTCGTGACCCCATGGACCAGAGCACGCCAGGCACCTCTGTCCTCCACTACCTCCCGCAGTTTGGTCAAACTCGTGCTGGTAACCTCGAAAACACTATCCAACCATCTCGTCCTCTGTCGCCCCCTTCTCCTTGTGCCCTCCATCTTTCCCAGCATCAGTGTCTTCTCCAGGGAGTCTTCTCTTCTCATGAGGTGGCCAAAGTACTGGAGCCTCAGCTGCACGATCTGTCCTTCCAGTGAGCACTCAGGTCTGATTTCCTTAAGAATGGATGCATTTGATCTTCTTGCCGTCCATGGGACTCTCAAGAGTCTTCTCCACCACCATAATTCAAAAGCATCAATTCTTCAGCGATCAGCCTTCTTTATGGTCCAGCTCTCATTTCCATACATCACTACTGGGAAGACCATGGCTTTAACTATACGGACCTTTGTCTCCAGATTTTAGTCTAGCTAAAATTCTATGAGGGACGCGGGTAGCGCTGTGGGTAAAAGCCTCAGCGCCTAGGGCTTGCCGATCGAAAGGTCGGCGGTTCACATCCCCGTGGCGGGGTGCGCTCCTGCTGCTCGGTCCCAGCGCCTGCCAACCTAGCAGTTCGAAAGCACCCCCGGGTGCAAGTAGATAAATAGGGACCGCGGGAAGTTAAACAGCGTTCCGTGTGCTGTGCTGGCTCGCCAGATGCAGCTTTGTCACGCTGGCCACGTGACCCGGAAGTGTCTCCGGACAGCGCTGGCCCCCAGCCTCTTGAGTGAGATGGGCGCACAACCCCAGAGTCTGTCAAGACTGGCCCGTACGGGCAGGGGTACCTTTACCTTTTTAAAATTCTATGAACAGCTCACAGATCCGACCACAGGAACGTTTCATAATGGCTTTGCAGTGTGAAACTCAAGTTGATCCATCCAGCAGAGGACATGGTTTTTATACCAACACATTTTTATATCTGTATCTTCCTCTGCCTTGCTTCTCCAGCTGCTCCCAGGCAGTTGGCAAGGTTTTTTCTCTCTCGGTCAAAATGCTGTGATCATTTACTGGATGGGGGGGGTGTACCTTTTATTTTAAAAATTACCTCTGCGAATTTCAGCATTATGTTGAATCTCCATAACATTTCAAGATCACACGCGTGATCTTATAGAAAAATAGATGTCAGAACTCACCATGAACACGTCCCTTGTTCTCTTATAATGGCAATGGTGCCCATCTGAGAGGTGTCAGAACTTAGTTCTGGCTGAAAAAACTCTTGACACCCGTATTGGTGTAACCAACAATGTAACACAGAAGAGCAACACAGCAGAACATCAGAAATATTTAAATTACACCAACATCCCTCCATGTAATTAGGGTGGGACCTTAAAACCCACATCTCAGGAGTGTGCTGGTCAGTAATCACACAGTTGAAAGTTTAAGTTAACTCTTTATTAGCAAAAACATGATGAACTTGGTTGAGTGTTAGGCCTAATGAACAGAGTAGCATATTCCCAGTGGTGTTACTCCATAAAAATCAGTTGCCGAGACGGAAAATCCTCACCTCTGCACAGCCATCTAGGTCCCCTCCTTTCCAGGGCTTTTACCAATCAAGTGAAGAGGTTGTGTAGCCAACCTCTCCTCCAGCCTTTTCACCCTCTTCTGGTTCGGAGAGACAAGGGTGGTAGGGTGGCTTGTCCCAGTTGGACGGGGAGACACCAGCCGGACTCCTCCCTGCCTCCTCCACCACTTCAGCTTCTGTTCAATTCTGGATTCCTCTCTGCCACAGACTCTCCCAGCTCACGAAGTCCTGTTACCTCTTCAGCTTCCCACCCCTTCTCTTCCCAGTCTTCTACTGACCTCATTGTTGTCCCACCACAAAGGGTTCCCACCCAGCTGGTTCCTCCCACCATTCCTCTGCATCCAACAAGTCCACGGCAGGTAGAGGCACATCTCAGCACTTACCAACAGCTGTATAGTGAAGGTGTCTGACTTGTCTCTAAGGTAAAGGAATTCCACTACTTAGAGATTACCCTCTCCTGGACTGCCACCTCACACTTTCTTAACTTCTGAGGGATGCAGAACCACCAAGAGTGGCTCCACTGCTGATCTTAAAACCCAGGAGGAGGCTGCAGACTTTCTGATGTCTTTCA